TGAGTTACAGCCACCTCAATTTGCCATAGCCCCGCTCCCAGTGCTGCTACCACCCACCCCAAAACAGCCCCCCCCCCCAATATTTTTTGAGCTAGTACATTGCTCATAAAGTTTGCCTTTGAAGCATTTCCATCACTTTACCTCTGAAATGGCTTCAGGTTTGCAACCTGCATGTCTCAAAACACCTTGTTTTTCTAAATTAGTCAGCAGGAGCTCAACTCCCAGCATTTCTCTTTGCTGCCCAAACTAACCCCCTTCCAATCAGCTAGTTTTGTCCAATCAGCTGTTTCAGTTTTACAATGTCCACCTCTACTTACTGAGTTTCCTCCTTAAACACCACAAGAACTTTTATTCATACTTCATCCTTTACAGTTTTGGAGCAACATGAGGCTTAAGCTAAACCCCAGGGAAGCACTCTGTAGTTTCCCTTCTATGTAAGGTCAGATGAATACTTTTGTGCTTTGTTGAACCCTACATAGGAGGGGCAGATGATTAATCTGTTATTAGTAGCTCTCCTTTCCTGTAGGACAATCTAGTAGCTGTCAAATATTTGTCCAATTATTCTTATTTATGGAATTTGCATAGGTGAAGTGTCAGATTCTAACTGAGCTGGTAATGGATAAATTGGTGCCACCTTTTCACCCTTTGGTGACTGTTTGTAGATTACCTGGATTTTCATTCACTGTTCCTAGGCCTAGATATTAGGATGCCATTGAACTTAGCAATTTGTATTGTACTTTGCAAAATCCTTGAATTGGGTGCAGAAAGAGATAAATCTACTCTAGTAGGGATTTTTTTGCATGCTGTATGTCTTGTAGCTCACCCCATCCTGCCCCAGCTGGGCCACCTCTGCCCCAGCCCCATTCCCTCCCTCACCATGGGGGACTCAATCTGCCCCCAACCTCCCTCATTTACTGGCCGGCCACTGTTCTCCAAGCTGCCAGGCGGCATATCGGCTGTCGAACCAGTATTGTCAGATATGGCTGGTTAATAATTGGCCATCGGTATCAACCAAAAAAATCTTTATTGTTGCACCCCTAGTTCTGATGTGTGCATAAGATTTTAAGTCTTCATATACTGACAGTTTGAAGCATTTCATAACTTTTATTTTTTCTAGAAGAGCCTAAAGAATCATTACATTTCTTTTTATTGGGACAGAGCCATCTGTCTGTATCTGGAATTGTTTTATAAAAATGGGGGGGCATGTGTATTTATGGCACGTGCGTGCACGTGCGCACGCACACACACACGCGCACACACACACACAGCAGAATGCCTGCTTTATATATAAATAACAGAAAGCAAATTAACTGTATTCAGTTATAAAAGCATCCCACCATAATTAAATGCTCACAGGACATAGTCATTCATTTTCAAAGGAAGTATCGATCCACCCAGCCCCCTGTATACATAATAAAAGCTATACCTTGAAACCTTTGTCAAAAATTGACTTGTGAAATCACACAAACTCACTGAAGACTTTTTTTTTAGAAGAGATGATTCTTAAAGAAAAATTGTTTCCATTGAAATTGATTAGCAATAACATTGTTTGCAATATTTTTTTTCAAATCAGTCAGTAGAGACCAGAAAAATATAAATGGAGAGAAAATTCTCAGCCTTAGGCTTTTGTTTTCTTTATTCTCGTTCATTTTCTGTGACTTAATATGCCAGTTACCATACAAATGGAAGACACAGTTCCTTTCCTGACATTTTCTATTCTGAATTTGTAACCAATAATGTTATGAATGTGTGCCATTCTTCCCATATCCATATACCATGTAGCTGAGAATTTCGCTCGGTGAGAGTTGTGGGGGGGAGGGGGAGGAAGGGAAGGGGAATATTTGTTCTAATAGCAAGAATGCCCAACTACAGTCTTCATTCTCATTTTCTGTCCTGGAGGGTGATGAAGAAAATGGAAGAAGGTTTATAGTTTGCCTTGTTGGCTTTTTTTCTTCTTTGCTGTAGAATGTTGGGTTGTTTAGAAAGGGACTTCTCTTCAGGATCACTCTTCTGTTGTCTGGAGGGGTCACTATACTTTACATACGGTGGAGAATCATGGGCACAGGACCACCAGCATTCACTGAAGTAGACAACCCAGCTTCATTTGCAGACAGCCTATTTGTGAGAGTAAGTCACAGACTTGTTTTTTTTGCAAGTTCAAAAAATTGGTTTTTGAAAAGAAAATTCAATTATATTTCAGTCCTTCAAAGAAACAATAAAATGAGCAAGTTTTATATTTTTGTGCTGTATGATGAGTCACTTTCATTTTTTGCTATTGTGATGATTTTCTGTAGGTAGGGATTTTGTTTTTTAAGTAAATCGCATGTGTGTTCTGTATTTAATTTGGTATGTGCTTTTCCACCCACCCTTTCTCTATTCCTGGAAGAAAGGACAGAATCCTTTCCCCCCTTTTTTTTCTTTTCAAATATTGAAAGTTGGCCCCACCTTTCTTTCTTCACTGTTGAAGAAAATAACTCCGGTGTTCTGGCTAAATATGTTTTGTTGCTTTTTTCCTGTGTTGCTTTTTTTTTTGGTGTGGTTTAGACATTTCCTTGCATTTTGGAAGATTGTCCCACCAAGATCTACATGTATAGATAACTGTCTATAGCTGTATCTCTCATCCTGAACAGGACAGTGATCTATGTATGGAAAAGAGCTTGTTTTATGCTGAAATCCTTGTATATTTTTATAGATGTAAAATGATGGACCCATTCTTACTAAGAATCAGCATTTGTGTATCTTATAAAATGCACTTGTTGGGGGGAGGGAGAGAAGATCGTGAAGAACACTGAAGTTGTTTTTTTTTTTTTCCTTAAGTTTAGTATCAAATAAATGTTTGTTTTCCTTTGACTGACAGGCTATAAACTATAATTACTACTATTCATTGAATGCATGGTTGCTGCTCTGTCCCTGGTGGCTGTGTTTTGATTGGTCAATGGGCTGCATACCCCTTATTAAATCAGTCAGTGACTGGAGAATAATTGCACTAGCAGCACTTTGGTTCTGCCTAATTGGCCTGATATGCCAAGCTGTATGCTCAGAAGACAGCCATAGGAGAAGGTAAGAGACAGTGTTGAATTTTAAATGCCACACTAGCTTGGTACAGTATTATTTTGTTAAATCCTGTACTGATAATTCTAACAATTTGGTGGAACCAATACCTAGCAAATGTAGTTGAAATAAATATTTATATCTATCATTACTGTTTCATCCCAATTTGGGCCCATCACTATACACTGACTAGTGGGGAAGCACACTTGTAGGAGGGGGTATGGATGGCTGCTTTATTTTCCTCCTGAAATGGCATTTTGAGATCCTTAACACTGTAGGTGGTAAAAAGTAATTTGTGGTCAGAGCAGAGTGTAATTGATGTATGTTGTGTTCCTCTTTTTTACAGTTCTTCTTTCTTTTTTCTTTTGTAATAATGAAAAAAGTGTTTTTATAAAAGATGTAGAGATTCTGGCCACTGATTGAAAAAATAAAATGCTATCCCAAAGTGATTACTCTTTCATCATTGAAGAGTTACTGAGAAAATACTTGAAAACAACAACAACCACACGTTATAGAATGGAAAATCAACTTACTACTCTTAGTATGACTCTATTTTATCTATATATATATATATATATATTGATTTATTTATTTTATATATTATATTTATTTACTTTCTATCTATCTATAGATATTTACTTTTCTTCAGAATCTGTTTCACACTGCACATCCTTGAACTGGTTATATAATTTTAAAGAGGCAGCAAATTAAAGATTTTAATTGGAGTACATGCAATTCAGTACTCAAATTATGGTTTCCCTGGCCCCTCCCATCTCTTGCTCTGCCAGTTTAGTGCATTTCTTAAAATGTTAATCTCATATCTGCTTCGCTGTCCTCTACCTCTTCCTTTATTTCTTTCGGTAGAAGGGCATTCACTACACAAATGATTCAGTAATTTTTTAATTCTATTAAAAACACAGACTTGTGAAATGTGCACAAAGCCACTGGCCAGCACTCACGAGCACTTCCAAGCTATCAAAAGAATTTTTAAAATGCCATGGAAGTCCAGCATATTTTGACGGTGATGGGGGCAGTTTTAATTTGAAGCTCCAAAAGACTTATTAAAATAATTACAGATGTTAAAAAAAAAAAACATGCAAAAAAGAAGTGTGTAGATGTGCACCGGTACATCGGTCCCATATAGGATTGGCACTGATATAGGGAAAATTGACAGTATCAGAAATCCACTTTTTTTGCCTGGTGTGGCTGAGAAGTGCCCTGTGCATGCACACAGCTACAGTATGCATGTGGCCAGGGGTGCAGTCTGGCAGCTTGGAAACCAGCATCTGGCTGGTAAGTCTGTTGTGGGGGAAGGGGTGTGGGGATGGGGGGTGCAGATCGAGGCCCCTGTGGTGAGGGAGGGAGTGGGGGAGGGGCAGATGCTACACAGCCAGGGCAGGGAGCGGGATGGAGCTGCGAGCAGCTCATTTGGGGAGTGCGGGGGGTGGGAGGCAGCTCCTGCTGCTGCGTGCATCCTGGGAGGCTGGTAAGTGGTGTGAGGGAAGGGGTGGGAAGGGAAGGGTGTGAGGGAAGGGTGGGAAGCCTCCCACCCCTTCCCTCACACCACTTACCAGCCGTCCGGCTGCACCTCGGAATTGGATCGGTATTAGCTGATATGGCTCCTTAAAAATTGTCCATTGGAATCGGCTCAAAAAATCCCTATCAGTGTACCCCTAGAAGTTTGTTTGTTTGTTGTTTGTTTGTTTTACCAGAAGAAGCAACACATTAATTTGTCCTGGCTCTGCAGTGTCTATATAGATTAGGCGCTTCAGTGGGGCTTTTTGGCACTTTTATCTAAACCTGATCAGCTATTCAATAAAAGTGCCAAAACCCCCCACTAAACTGCCAAATCTATATGGATGTTGGGTGAGCCAGGTTCAACTAATGTCATGCATTTTCTGGGAATGTGCTGGGCTCAGGACAGGAGTGTACCAAGTTTAAAGTAGAGCACCATATTTTGGGGGTTTTTAACATCTGTAAGCAGCCAACAATTTTTGTGTTGTTTTTTTTTTTTCAAACGTGTAGGTACCTTGATACAGATTTGCCCTTTATAAAGAATGCATTAGCTTTAAGTGAACGTGGTGTCTTTGGTAGGTTTTCTACTGAACAAAACCATTATTGCAAGCAAAGCTTATTAGAAATTCAACTTTTGATTTGGCTTTTTAAATATCAATAAACACTTGAATATTTTTTTCCTTTATTTCTCACTTAATAGTTTTAGAAAACTGTCTAAATGTCTGAAGTCATTTTATTGCCTGTATATTTGAAGAGAATAGAACTTATGATTACCAGTTTGTTCAGATCATACTCTAACCTGGATATGTGAACTTGCCTCTGGTATACTTTTGTGGGAATTCTGGCTTGGGATGTAAAGAAACCAGAGAATGTTAGACACCCCCACTAAAATTCTATGGTAGCTGGGCATCAGCCTCTCTGAGATTCCTTTGAATACTCCAACATCTATGTACAGACTAAGGCACTTTGGAACCCCCAGAGTTCAGTAAACAGTAATAATAATTTTATAATAGTTTTCTTCTGTATTTGGTTACTAATACAAGCATCTGTTTCTTCTTTCCAGAATTCTTACTCTGGGACTGGGGTTCCTGATTATCCCTTTCCTTCCTGCAAGTAACCTGTTCTTTCGAGTAGGATTTGTTGTTGCAGAGAGAGTCATCTACCTTCCCAGTATTGGATATTGCATTCTGTTTATATATGGATTTAGTTTATTGAGCAAACAAGCCAAGAAAAAGGTACTGAAAAAATAGTCAATACAATTGATGGTCAAGACTAGGAGAAGGGCTTTAATACTGAAAGATCTCTCTTTTTTTTTTTTTCTAAACTGTGTCATCTTTAAGAAAATTCTTACTGCTGCTATACTGGGAATCTTGTTGATAAACGTGATGCGCTGCATTATCCGCAGTAATCAGTGGAGATCTGAAGAACAGCTTTTTAGGAGTGCTCTGTCCGTGTGTCCTCTCAATGCGAAAGTAAGTTCAGAACATTCACTTTTTTTTAGCTTTTCAATGTTTCTGCAACATGTTAAATATGTTCAACAAATATGTACCCTGAGCAAAAAACCGTTAGGCCAGCTAATCTCACAGCTACAGCTTTGCCTCTGGGGCCCAGTCAGTTCCATGAACAGTTAATTTATCAGTTTGGTTAAACTTATGACAGACAAGTTACATTTGCAAACTTACAAGCTTATATTAACTAATATTACCTATTTAGGCAAAACACCAAATGCCTCCAAGAAGCACACATTATTGCTTATTAATCCCTCTGGTTCTGGCTGTCACATTCTGGTACAAGGACACAACAATACCATCTAGAAAGGACATGCAAATTATAGTGGCAAGAATAATCAACACACTAGTCGGTGCTAATTACAGCACAGTAATTCAAAAGTGAAAAAAGAAGATAAATTGACTTCAGTGAAGACATTCAATTGGATCAAAAAAACCCAAAAACTTGCAAGTACAAGCTGTTGGAACAGATGCGTATATAAATTACTTTTTGCTGCAACAATCTCAGTCTGCAGAGGCAGAAATTATAGAAGTGTAGTCAACTGACTTGATGTAATTAGGCTCTCATTTACTCACTTCAGAGTCATTATTATGTTGTTATTTTTTTCTTTTTGGAGAGCCAGTAGACTATAGGGTAAAGGAACTGAATTGTCAACAGAATTGCTGAGTCTTTTGGTGAGATGCTCACCGCAGGCTTGCTCCTTAATGCAGAGAAGGTGTCCTTGGCTTAGATATTGTGGAAGACCATAATGAAGCTTATCTCTGAGTTGATTCAGGCTTACTGTAGGGGGCATTCCAAGGGTATAGCCACAAGAAATGTCTCAGGGGGTTGGTTCCCATTAGGCTGCAGTACAGGAATTTTGGCAGCCCTGTGAGCCACAGGTCAGCCTGAGAAGTCCCTTATTATTGTTCAAATTGTACTTCAGGCCTCTCCAGAGTAGCCCAGAATTGGGAATGTGCAAAAATGGCACCATTTTCAGGGAACAATATCTTTATGCTCTCTACTCTAAAGCAGTGCTTCAGAAAATGTGGCTCAGAACCCCAGGTTTTTATGGAATTTCTATTATTATTTTTTTAATTAGAAAATTTAAATATTCATCTTCAAGTGAACAATAAATCACCCTTGCATCTAATTAAATACAGATATATGGTGGTTGCCTTGTAAACAGAACAACAGAATGTGAGGTAACCCTATCAATTTCCTTACCTTGGTATATGGAAAAAATCAGCTACATATGAGGTCCTGTTGTGTGGCAGTTGTAGGCAAACATCTATAGTTTAATGGTGGCTTTAGTATATCTCATATTCTAGATGACAGAGAGATGCTGTAAATGGAGCAGGTGCAGTCTGTCTCTCTTTTTTAGCAGTTGTAAAAGAGTGTCATAAGGAGTAGTATAATGTAAGCCAGTGATTCTCAGCCAGGGTGCCAAGGCACTTTGGAGTGTGGCAAGATCGCTGAAGGGTTCCTCAGGATGTATCGAGAGACAACTAGGTAAGAGTGGGATCAGGCTCCAAGTATGAGGATATAAGCAAATAAGGGCAGGCCCTGGCTCTCTGGTTGCTCCATCGCTCCCATTGCCCAGCCTCTCTGCAAGGAGGGGGACAAACTTAAATAAATTAGTTTTTGAAATGAGGTGCCGCTCATTTCACAAAAGTTACGAAGGGATGTCTTGAGTCTAATGAGGGGTGCCTTGAGTGTATAAAAGTTGAGAACCACTGATTTAAGCAAATGCAGATTGTGATAATGTTACCGCTACAGAAAAGTGTTGGAGATTCTTATTTCAATCGGTCATCAGGAGTAATTTCACCGAAAACACAGTGGTATAGTAATTAGATCAAGAATCAAGCCCTCGGTTTGACTGTCAGTAAAAAATAAGGAAAGGGCATTGCTATAGATAGATAGCTTCAATGCTTACTAGTCCAGTCTGCCTCTGCTTCTCACTCAGTCATGTTCACCTTTTGTGATGCATGTTTCTTATTGTGAATATTAAAAAGTACAAATTACAGCAATTTTTGAGGATAGTACAAAAGAATAAAAAAAAAAACCAAGGAACTACCAAAACATCCTTACACAGTGACTGCAGGATTCACCCTTACTGCAAAACTGTGCTATACAATTTGAGATCTGCCATTCCCCATTTCCCCCCCCACCCCCCCCCAAAAAAAAATCCATCTTTCTTACAAATATAAACATGAAAATGGGAACCAGGCATAACGGTCACAAACAGCTTCCTGCACCAAGCTGGCTTCTAGAAACCCCAGTGACCATTTAACAAACAGCCAGAGCCACCTGCTTCCATCATGACAACTTCAACAATGCAGCCATTTGTTTTCATGCCCCCAATTTGAGTGACATGAAGGACTATAAATATGAGAGCAGACTGAAGTGTTATTTATTGTCAAGTAAACCAAAATCCACTGGAATTTATATTATTTTTCATTTATCTTATAAAAAACACTTTCAGGGGGTGCTATAGATTAGTGGCTCCCAACCTCCCAGGTCACAAAAGCCCTGGACGCAGGTGTCGTGGTGGACGTAGTCTTTCTGGATTTTAGGAAGGCCTTTGACACTGTCTCTCACCCCATCCTCATTAAAAAAAAATTAGTTGACTCTGGTGTCAACTCCTACACAGTCAGATGGGTCACACAGTGGCAGGAGGGCCGCACCCAGAGAGTGGTGGTGGATGGGTCATTTTTGACCTGGAGGGATGTGGGCAGTGGGGTTCCCCAGGGCTTGGTCCTCGGGCCCCCACTATTCGATATCTTCATCAGCGACTTGGACGAGGGAGTGAAAAGCACCTTGTTCAAGTTCACAGATGACACTAGGATGTGGGGAGAAGTGAGCACACTAGAAGAGAGGGACAGGCTACAACTAGATCTGGACAGGTTACAGAGGTGGGTGGATGAGAATAGGATGGGTTTCAATATGGACAAGTGCAAGGTATTGCACCTAGGGAGGAAAAACTATCAGCATACCTACAGGCTGGGGAACTCCCTTCTCATCAGCACAGAGGCAGAAAAGGATCTTGGAGTCACTATTGATTCCAAGATGAACATGGGTCACCAATGTGGGGACGCAGTCAGTAAGGCTAACCGCACCTAATCATGTATCCACAGATGCATCATGAGCAGGCCCAAGGAGGTGATCCTCCCCCTTTATGCAACACTGGTCAGGCTTCCGGTAGAGTGCTGCATCCAGTTCTGGGCACCACAGTTCAGGAGGGATGTGGACAGGATTGAGGGGGTCCAGAGGAGGGCCACTCGTATGATCAGGGGGCAGCAGGGTAGGCCCTATGAGGAGAGACTATGGGACCTGAACCTGTTCAGCCTCCACAAAAGAAGGCTGAGAGGGGATCTGGTGGCCACCTACAAACTTGCCAAGAGAGACCAGCAGGCAATGGGAGAGTCCCTGTCCCCCCAAGCACTACTGGGAGTTGCAAGGAATAACGGCCATAAGCTGACTGAGAGTAGGTTCAGGCTAGACATCAGGAGGCACTACTTCACAGTCAGGGCGGCTAGGAGCTGGAACCAACTTCCTAGGGAGATGGTACTTGCCCCTAACCTGGAGGTCTTCAAAAGGAGGCTAGACAGCCACCGAGCCAGGGTTGTTTGACCCCAGCATTCTTTCCTGCCCATGGCAGGGGGTCGGACTTGATGACCTGTTTAGGTCCCTTCTGACCCTACCAGCTATGAATCTCTGAAACCTTTTTAATACTGCAGACCGGCACAGGAGCGGGACGGGGCTCACAGAGCTGGCTGCCTCCCTAACTGGGGCTGCCCCACCTCCCAGCTTTAATCCTGCATGTGACTGCTGGCAGCAGAAGCCGCTTGCCTGGCCAAACAGACCAGGGTCCAAGCAGGGGATTCACGCCACAACCTGGCAGCCAGCCCTTCATGGCCCAGTACCAGGCCACAGCCCAGTGGTTGGGAACCTCTGCTATAGATTGTCCAGCCTGCTGCACCAGAGAGAGAGAACCCAGGACTATGTCACAGGATTTTCTTGTGGCTTAGTATCGGAATAGATCAGGCCTTCTGATTACCTGTGCATGACAAAAAAAAAAAAAAAAGAAGAGGGCATGGGATATTGCAATAATTCAGATTGCCCTGCAGAGTAATGAATCTCTTCTCTGGAGCATTTATTTCACTGGCTATAGAAGGCGACTTCGACACTAGCTTTGATAAACTTGGCCCTGTGATATGAAATGAATTGTAAATTAAATAAGAATCAATAGCAAGTTAGAAAGGCTTGGCCCTTTTAAAAAGGGGGATCACAGCAGGGAAAGATCTGGCAGTTCCCTGCCTTATGTAACATTCAAGACTTAGGCAAAAATAACATAAAGTGCTTTTTGAAAGAAGGGAATGTGCTATTTTTTAAGTATGTTATGTCCTGTAACTGGCTTGTTTGTTAACTCAGTTGTCAGACTGAAAAGGGAAATGTTAAAAACATGAAAATATTTAGTCTGAATAATAGCTTTGGGTCTGATTTTGCTCGGCACTGTATAAAAGTGGGGAGAGATGCCATTGCATTCAGTGGAGTTGCCCTAATTAGAGCTAGAATCAGCTTCTTTCTGAGTAACTGGAAAATACATATTTCTGTGTAATTAACTTCTATAAAGATATCCCATACCTATAAAACAAGACTACCTAACTACTGATATATAATGGATTTAAAACAATACGATGCTACTAGCTCATAAAGGGCCTATTCTGAAGTTAAACAGAGTCTTTCCCTTGACTTCAATGTGTTCTGGATCAGGTCCAGAGTATTTGACTGCGGTAACAGATGATCTAATTAATTACATGTGATTGTAACAATCACCTAGAGGTGGTAAAATTGGTACCACATAATGTAAGATAATTAGCTTTTAAAGTTTGAATTACCACTACTTTATCAGGCTAATAACCTACCTCACCTGAGCTTTTTAATCTGAATGACAGATTATCTTTTCTTTAGATTTTAAAAA